AGCATAGAGAATGCTAGTATTAGAGGGTCATTTTTTTTATAATAAATAAAAAGAAAACAAGTAGACAGAATAAAAAGAATAGAGAAATCTAGTGTTAGAGTCTCTTATTTTTTTTATGAAAACAAGCAGTTAGAGAATTAATAGAGAGTACAAGTGTTAAAGGGTCAAATGTTTTTTTTTAATAAAAAAGAAAACAAACAAATAAAAATATAATTACAATAGAGAGTACTAGAGTTAGAGGGCCAAATAAAGATGGAACAGATGCGTTTCTTGAAGATGGCTTAGGACTCAGCTGCTGGGATTGAGTTGGGCAGGTCATTCCACCAGGAGGGAACAGTTAATGTAAAAGTCTGAGAAAGTGATTTTGTGCCTCTTTGAGATGGCACAATAATACGCCATTCACTTGCAAAACACAAGCTTCTAGAGGACACATAACTCTGATGTAATGAATTTATGTAAAGGGGTGCAGAGCCAGTTGTGGTTTTGTAGGCAAACATTAATGCCTTGAATTTAATGCGAGCAGCTATTGCCAGTGCAAGTTGATGAACAGAGGTGTGACGTGCATTATTTTCGGCTCATTAAAGATTAATCTTGCTGCCGCGTTCTGAATTAATTGCAGAGGTTTGATAGAACTGGCTGGAAGACCTGCCAAGAGAGCATTGCAATAGTCCAGCCTGGATAAAACAAGAGCTTGAACAAGGAGTTGTGTAGCACGTTCCGAAAGAAGAGGCCTGATCTTCCTAATGTTGTGTAAAGCAAATCTGTATAAACCTTCATAAAAGATATACAAATTTATATCTGAGATATAAAGTCATAATTGCATGATATAAGAAAAAAAAAGTCAGAATTGGGAGATAAAATGTTGCAATTAGCTTTTACATTTTTTTAATTATTAAATTATTTGCAAGATGTAAACATAAAAAATTATTTATGTCTTGCAATTCTCACTTTTTTCCTCATAATTGTGAGACAAAAAGTCACAATTACCTTCTATATTTTCAATCCCTTGGCAGATACGGGCTTCCAAAAGACACTGCTTTCAAAAACATTAATCTACAAAAAAATTCAACCCCAAACATTTAAACAGTAGTACATGTATAACACTTCTAAATGACAATATAAAATCCTCTCCCTCACCTGTTTGTCGAATATAAAGTTGCAATATTGAATCTGTGCTGATCTTTGTACTTAAAACTGATTCCAGATCCAATGCCTGAAAAAGTACAAAAAAAAATCCCATCAAGGTCAAGTGCAGAAAATGCAACCACAGAACACAACATCCATGTATTCAGTCTAATAACTGACTAGAATTAACTATAAGTAATGGCACAGTTGCACCATCAATCTGACGCTGAGGTAGTCCTGCGACAGGCAGCACATGCGGGGAACACATGATCGTATTCATGAGGGAAATCTCTAACTGCTCAAGCCCCGGGCCGAACATGGCAAACTGTGGCTCTGAAACCGGTACAAGGGACTGGAAGAAGGACGTCACAGATTCAAACACTCTGGGTTGGTGTTGCCATTGGTTTCGACAGGCTGGACAAACACGTAGATACCTGTGGGTGCCATGAGAATATTACAGTAAATATTAAGGGTTTATAAATACAGGCTAACAACCTTCATAGATATTAGTTATAAAGCACTTGTATTATTTTTCATTAAATAAAGTGTAATATAAATAATAATAAAATAAAAATTTCGCACCAAGAGCTGATTATTTCACTAAGAGCACCAAGAGCTGATTATTTCTGATACTGAAGTGTCATGTGGCGCAGCGTTACGTACTTACTCTGCCATATAATCCAGCTGCATCTCAGAGTCATCCAGCACAGCTGAGCCAGTGAGCTTGACCTGAGGCACTGATGAATGGTCAACTGACTGCCAGAGCGGCATATCACGCAACAGGAAGTACTTCCACAGGACAGGGTCTCGAACCATTGACCGCCAGTACGTACTGGTGCTTCCCAGTCTGCAGAGGTCTTGCGGAGACAGGAAGGTCATAATGAGAAACTGCATGTCAACCTGTGTGTTTGGGTAAGAAAGACAAAAAAATGTGTTTTGGAGAACCGTTCAAATGTTTGGGGTAACAGTAAAACAGTAATATTGCGAAAGATTATTGCAGATTTAAAAAACTGTTTTCGATTTTTTTAGTATATTTTAAAATGTAATTTATTCCAGGGATGGCAAAGCTGAATTTTTAGCAGCCATTACTCCTAAGATGATACTTCAGAAATCATTTTATGTTCGTTCTAATGTTCTTCGTTCTTTCTTCTGTGATATTTTTCAGGATTCTTTGATGAAAGTTAAAAAGAACACCGTTTATTTAAAATAGATATTTTTGTAACCTTATAAAATACCTTAATGTCACTTTTGATTAATGTAATGCATCCTTGCTGTAAAATTATTAATTTCTTAAAAAAACCTTACCGATTCCAATATTTTGAGCAGTAGTGTAAATAACACTAACACTAATTATTTAGAGACATTATCTGGTATTAGCATCTATACAGCTGCAGTTTAGTCGACATATGTAGGATATTGTATTTGTGTATGTACTGTATATGCAGGCTATGCTTGGCACCATACTGCTCTAATTACTGCAGAATAGTATGTATACTGTGCACAGTAAAATGAGTAAACAATAAGGCTTATCCCTCTATTCAATGCACTTGTGTGATAAATGAACTGGAAGTAATAACAGCTGTGGATTTATTTTTCTCATCTCATTATTTGATCAGACAAGCAAAAATAAATAAATAAAGTAAAATTTAATATAATTACACATTGATAACTGGACCCCATTCAAATTAAATAAGCAAGATGATATAAATGTAGTAATGTATACCGTTAATATGATGCCTTTCAGTATGCAGTATACAGTATATCTGTGCAGTAGTTAGTACGTGCTAAGCTAGCATTCCATTCGCAACAGCCATAATATGTAGGTTTAATAAATCATCAGTTAAAATAAAAAATATGAAATGTAAAAAAATCGCCTTACCGGCACGTTATCCAGAGAGGGGCCCGTGACGACATTACCTGGCCCCTGATCATCACTTTGCTCATTTCCTTGTCGTCTTGTATCAAAAAACCTCTCTCTAATACTCCTGAGACTTTGCACGACTATAGATCGGCTCAGCATACTGACACTTATTTGACAGCTATTTCTTAGAAAGAGCAAAGATGTTAATACATTTGCTTTACTTCATTACATGACATGTCAGTCAACTATTACTCCCGATTTCAGTTGTGAAGTAGCCTATCCGTGTGAATTTTCCCGGAACTGTCAAAGTTTCACGTCTCTCGTGTTTTCATAGGCATGCAGCGTCACGCACCAGAGGGGCCCGTGACGACATTACCTGGCCCCTGATCATCACTTTGCTCATTTCCTTGTCGTCTTGTATCAAAAAACCTCTCTCTAATACTCCTGAGACTTTGCACGACTATAGATCGGCTCAGCATACTGACACTTATTTGACAGCTATTTCTTAGAAAGAGCAAAGATGTTAATACATTTGCTTTACTTCATTACATGACATGTCAGTCAACTATTACTCCCGATTTCAGTTGTGAAGTAGCCTATCCTAATTTTCCCGGAACTGTCAAAGTTTCACGTCTCTCGTGTTTTCATAGGCATGCAGCGTCACGCACCGTACTGCATTGTGGGATCTGTAGTTTTGGAAATCGACACAGCCAAACTACAATAAAATAAAGGATAGTCTATCACGTTCAGTATTTGGGAGGGCATATGGAGGACTAGGAGAGACACATAAAAATAAAATGAAGGAACAAGTTATCAATTTAATAATTCAAACATAAAAATGTAATAATAGCACTTTTAAATGGACAAATTAACTATTATATATATATATACAGGTGCATCTCAATAAATTAGAATGTCATGGAAAAGTTCATTTATTTCAGTAATTCATCTCAAATTGTGAAACTCGTGTATTAAATAAATTCAATGCACACAGACTGAAGTAGTTTAAGTCTTTGGTTCTTTTAATTGTGATGATTTTGGCTCACATTTAACAAAAACCCACCAATTCACTATCTCAACAAATTAGAATACTTCATAAGACCAATAAAAAAAAGTGAATTGTTGTGAATTTTTAGTGAATTGTTGTACATATATTTGATTTACAATTTGCAAATGTATTAGCCTATCTAGAGTTTAGAACACGGATTGAATAAACGGTTCTAAATATAGTGTTGCCATTAACCCCAAAACTGATGACTGAAATGTAAGGTAGTAAAGGTGGAGATTTTTACTATATCTTAAAAGGTTAGCAATAAGAATATAAAATACAGGAACAACCTGAAATTTAGCTGAAGACCTTTTGATAATTACTGGGGACATGAAGACAATCAGCATCTTGTATCTATTAACAATTCTTTGGTGTAACAACCTCTCATAAATGTGAAACCAAAATATCACACACATTCACATTTCAACATTTCTTAACCCAAAATTTATTTCAATGAAGACATCAAAAACAAAAAATGAACTTCATTTGAAAAAAAGAATGACCAAAAAGTTTAGATTTTTAAAAGTATACTATCAAAATATCCAAATTCCCATCTCTGAACATTACATCTGGTCAATGAAAGGAATAAAAATGCAACTTTTAATAAGTGAGCAGAAGAGGTGTCATATACAAAGAGATGTTATTAAAAAGAAAAGGTCCATACTTAAAAATGGTCACAAATACTTAACTATGCAACATATACCTGCATTTTCCCCTCCTTTGTACCATTTCTTTTAACATATATAAATGTAATTAAAAATAAATAAATAAAAATTAAAATAAATAAAAAGTTGCGATGTTTCTCAGCTGGAATTTTTTTTCTTAAACAAATAGTTATTTGTTTATATTTTACATTAGAAGTATTATTCCACATTCTCAGCGAAAACACACATCCAGAAAACAAATCTGGACCGGAAGATAAGTGCCTTTTTTGTTTTCTGTATTTTCTTTTTTAATCTTTTTTGTTTGTTTGTTTTTTTACTTTTTTTTGCTAGCATCTGAACAATGACATTTTGTGAACCTCTCCTAAAAGCTCTCTCCTGGTTTACTGTAAAATATTAAGGATCTCCTTGGCATTCTCGGTGTTCCAGCCCTGACCCTGAAGTGGCCCCTCGCATGCCAGCACGTACTTATGGAGGATTTGTGTGCCAATATCTCGGAAATGAAGCCTGTCCTCTTTGCGCTCTGTGGTGTCCATGCTGCAGTCCTCATATTTCACTGCCCAGAAACACATCTCACCAATGTACATCATTGTAAGCAAGTGGGTATCAGAAAAGATACCTAATGAGGAAAAAAGGTAAAAAAAAAAACGAGTCAGTTTTGACAGGAATACAAATTATATATATATATACACACACACACACACACACACACACACACACAAGTGATGCACGGATGAGCTAAAGCGTCACCCGAATCCGCAGCTTCAAATAAATTATCCACCCGCCCGCACCTTTATTTTTCTCTGATTTAGATAACCGCACCCGATCGTCACATTCAGGGTTCGTACGGTCATGAAAAACCTGGAAAAGTTAAAACCTTTTAAAGGGATTGCGCATATATCGCATTACTCATTCCTGCAGCTTTCGACTTTAAAATGAGGGAAATTGCTGCAAAACATTTATTCAATATAGCGTGTAGGTTAGATGAGTAAATAAATCCACACAAACCATCAGATCAAATCAGTCATTTGAAAACAGTGTGAGTGATTCAGCTGTACTGTGTCCTCTCTCTTTGACCTTCTCGTCACATCGGCGCATCTAATAAAACTGTGCTGTCTGTCATTAATGTTAATCAAACAACAAAAGACAGAAAATCCCACACTGCTCTTGACTAAATGTTTTGTTGAATAACTTTAATATGTTAATTTACAGTTTATTCAATTTCTGTAGCCTATTTAAAACACGTTCATATTTTAGAATATGTAGTTAATATTTTATTAATATTTATTTTATCCACCCACGACCCACCCGCAAATAATCAGAATGCATGTTTTTTTTATTACCCAACCCACCCGACCCACGGATTATCTGCAGCACCCGCGGATATAACCGCCATCCACGCATCACTAATATACACCCACAACAAACATTTTATTTTGATTAGTAAAAATTGTATTGTCTAAAAATAAGTTATGCATCTCATTGCATCTTGCCCATTAACCCCAAAGTTCACAACTATAGATGTCTGAGAACTTCAATTGTCACCTTCCAGACAAAGTGACTGACAAGCTATATGACTTCATAAAACTTTGCATATCATTTATTATTATACAGCAAATGTTAATCATAATGAACTTTAGTTAAAAGCAGTGCATTGTAAAACCACTAGCAATCTCAAAAATATTGGTTAATACTGATTAATGCAAGTACTGGGGTGGATAGTGCTGGGCGGTATACCGGTTCATAGTTTTGTTATATATGAAATGAATTTTTAAAAAACTTTCAGACACTTTTAGCGGCTTTTTTCCATAGAATATTCATACTGACCAACCTAGCGACTTTTTTTGGATAAACCTTAGCTATGGTTCAGTTGGAAGACTTCGCCAGTGCTGTCCCGTGAACGCGAGGTCTGACTTTGCCAGAGAAGTGTTACCTCTCTCGGCATCTGTTCTGTGCAGTGAGCGGCAGAGAAGCACATTCAGTTGGCCGCACCGCAGCCGACTCGTCAATAAATGAGAACAAAACAGCATACTGATTAATGCAAGTACTGGGGTGGATAGTGCTGGGCGGTATACCGGTTCATACCGAATACCGGTGTTTAGTTTTGTTATATATGAAATTAATTTTTAAAAAACTTTCAGACACTTTTAGCAGCTTTTTTCCATAGAATATTCATACTGACCAACCTAGCGACTTTTTTTGGATAAACCTTAGCTATGGTTCAGTTGGAAGACTTCGCCAGTGCTGTCCCGTGAACGCGAGGTCTGACTTTGCCAGAGAAGTGTTACCTCTCTCGGCATCGGTTCTGTGCAGTGAGCGGCAGAGAAGCACATTCAGTTGGCCGCACCGCAGCCGACTCGTCAATAAATGAGAACAAAACAGCGTTTCCAAGCACCTGTCACTTACTGATTGTTTGAAATTATAAATATGAGCGTAGTTTATCTGTTAATATCACATGCACTTTTTGTTTGTTGTTTTTTTTAGTTTGTTACTCAGACGCAGGCAGTGCGCTGTATGAGACGAAGTAATATAGCCAAAACAACCGCATAGCAGTTAATTAAAAGGGGTCGTGTTTAGTCACTAGGCCCTTTCGCACCACTTTAGTTCCAGAACTAAACGTACGGTACTAAAGTACTGGGACGATTTTGCGCGAACTATTTCCCAGTACAATTTAAAGGGTTGTATTCACTCCGAGAGTATGTACTAAGAAGTGACGTAAGCCGGTCGACAGCGACATCATTTGTGCGCGGCATTCAACAACAGAAACAAAGAAAAACAACATTAACAACAGGAGGATGGAGGACGCTGTGATCGGAGCTGTGTTTTTGTTGTGTCTCGCAGGTTTCACAGTGGACATGGAAAGTCGACGTATACGTAAAGCGATTGAAAGAACGGAAAGGAGGACTAATAATCTCCAACGACAACTGGCAGTGCTACATTTGATACAAGTGCCTGCACTTCAGCGTCCGTCCATCTATCGCTGTTCTCCATACTTGCGAAATAAGTTGACATGCTTACAGTATGTTTACACGGCGTTTTAAATCATGAGGGTGAGGGTGTTTTCATACGCGTTTGGCCAATCAATGTCTACTTACGTCACGATTAGTACCAGTTGTGCTGGTTAGACCCTGCTCCGGAGTAGGAGCTAATTTGGTTCTCGAAAAAGGCAGTCCGGTACTAAAATCGCTCCCAGTTCCGGCGGTG